CCCACCATTCTGTGGACTTCTCAATTTTCCCAACACCCGACATTGTCCTCCCAAATCCCTAACTGAACCACCAAATGATTTCCCTGTCATTGAGACATGGCTTCATTCTTTTACTCATCCAACAAATAATTACTGAGTACCTACTTTGAGCCCGGCACTGTGAAAGGCACCAGGATCTGTTTGATCCAGGTCTAGTGACCCATTTATCCCAGGCCTCATATTCATGAAGTGTTTATAAAGTACATTTGTTAGATTATACAAGTGATATCAAATATATAGTGACAGATACACTTATAGGATTAAACTTCAAAGCACATTATAATTTTTATAATCTTGTTTTGGCAATTTTCAAAAATATATACAAGTCTCCCCATGGTGACATATCATCCACGGAAGTTATCCAGGTCTCTCTCAGTCACCGTGGGTCCCACTGGACATTCAAGAGAGGACTGCAAACAAGCCAGCTGTTACACTGTGCTCACGGAACTTGGTGCTTAGTGGGGAAACAGTTATCAAATAAGAACACACATCCAATGAATAACGAGTTATCCAGGGGAGGAGAGTGGCACGGCGTGAGGCTGCACTGGCAAGCAGAGTTTTCACTTTTAGCTGAAGCATTTGAATTTTTACTATAAAGACATATATAAAGACACATGCCATGTGCTACTTGTAGAGTCATTGTAAATTTCTACATCAGGCACATCATGAAAAGAACAGCCAAGAAGGGGACTACAAGACCATGAGAGAGGCTGACCCCAATGTGGGAGGCACTGAGAATGAGCAAAACGCCAAGTTGGAGCTTCAGACTTGGTCTGGAGCTCAAACAGCTGCACACAACTTTGTGGTGACCATGGGGGAGGTGCTGCCAGGCATGGGTGCAAGGCTCCCCATCTCAGAGCTCTCTCCTGGGCTCAAGCACCTTCTGACCCCACAAATGGAATGAGCTTTCAGCTATTGTGTAACATGGATGATTGATATGTTACTCTCACCTTGGTTTGAAACTTGCCTTCTCATGGAGAGCAATAAATCTTACCAGAAAATACTAAATGCCCCTGAGCTGAATCACAGCAATCCTGTCTAGACTGAAATGTCTCATCTTCATTTGTCAAGCAAATTGTGTCTTGACCATTATTGTGCACCTGGTAAGCCCCATTGGCTTTATACAGTTCCATCAGCAACAGGGCAGCCCCTGCTAAACAGCTTTCTCTCTGAGGAAAGCCTGGCCACATACAAATGATCTCAAGGCATGCTAGAGAAATAAGAGCAAATATCATGGAAACATCATTAGGTATATCAACACACTGACTGCTGATGGTAGATGGAACAGTCCAATTCTGTACCAGACAAATTTGGGGAAAAAATGTTTCCTTACACTGTTCTTTTTTATTTTCCTGATGATATTTTGAGATATACTCACATGGCATGGCTCTTATAAAACAGACGCAAGACCAATGACTGATCATCCAATAATGCTTCTAATCAGAGCAATTGTGTGTGTTTGTGTGTGTGCGTGCGCGTGCGCGCGTGTGTGTGTGTGTGTGTGTACGCATGAATGCACACATGCAATACTTTCTTAGTTTGGCAGGTGCCTCTTTGGAGCATGCAGTTTTTAGGGCTGTGTATACAAGTAAAGTCAGCACAGAGTAATGCAACTGAATGTACCTCTGCACGAGGTAGACAGCTAGCTGAGGAAAAGTTTCCTAGAATGGGTTTCATGTCTTAGTTCTACTCTAAGACCTCACTGGGAATCTGTATGGTAGAGAGGGTTACTAGGTAAAATATGGGGCACCTAGTTAAATTTGAATTTGGGGTAAACAATGAGTGATTATTTTTTAGTATAGGTACTTTCCAAATATTGCATGGGTGTTATTTTTATTTGCAAAATCAGGTGACCCTGACAGCTGAAGAGGGGAAGACATGCATGTCAATCACCTTTGTCATGAATATTGTCACCATCAGCATCAGTTAACATTTACAGCACATGGGGATGAGGTCCATGCTATAGGGAAGACCTATGAATTACTCCTGCTGCCTAAAAGACTCAGAATGTACCTACTTCTTCAATTGTGGCCTCCTTGAGATCATGGGCTATACCTTAGTGCTCCATCTTTAAGACCAGGCCTGGTGACTGGCATGTGGTACTAGCTAACAATAGAGTTTTGAATAAATGAGGATATGGTATGGAATGGTTATAAAAGGAAGAAATACGGGGTGAGCAGGATAAAATGACAAAACTGTACACAGCAGAAAATACAGGGAACCTCCAAATCTGCAGCCACCTCCATCACCTATGAGAAGAACCTCTTAGCAGAGCAATTCAACTGAACAGTCTCTTAGCTTGGTCAGTAAGACTGAACTGTCTGGAATAAGTGCAAAATAGTCTAGGCATTCTGAGTGGGTAGGGGAGGGGGAGTATGCAAAGCTGGGAAATCAACACTTATACAATTATCCATTTTAAAACATTTTTTTAAATGTTTATTTTTGACAGAAAGAGCATGAGCAGGAGAAGGGGAGAGGGAGAGGGAGACACAGAATCTGAAGCAGGCTCCAGGCTCTGAGCTGCCAGCTCAGAGCTCGATGCGGGGCTCAAACCCATGGACACCTCATGACATGAGCCAAGTCAGACATCTAACCAACTGAGCCACCCAGGAGCCCCTACAATTATCCATTTTAAAAAGCCATAATGAAGGGGACAAAGCACAGTAAAAGCCCACAAGAGGGACAAGCAGTTCTGCCTGGGACAGTGTAACAGGTTTTAGGTAGAAGAAGTTACGTGAAATACATAAGCAGGTATGATCCTAAGAAGTGCTTTGTACTTTATAGACTCTGTATGTATGTTTAATCACAAATATATGTAATATACAAGCATACATACTATTATTCAAAAGTTGCAAGAATAGTACATTGAACTCCCACATACTCTATATTATTCTACGTAACTGGAACTGAGTCTTCAGGCAAATTCATATTTCCTTTGGAAGTACCCTAGAATGGAGATGTTTAAATAAATAAAGTAGTACATACTGATCACATTGCAAATACATAACAATTTTTCTTTTTTAATGTATGTTGTTTTAAAATTTGTTTTACCTTATTAAATAAGAAATACTTGCTGACTACAGAAAACTAAAAAACAAAAAAAACAAGGTCATTTAAAAAATGCAAAAAATAAAAATCACTAAAAATAAAAATTATTTTTCTAGTCATAGAAAACATTTGTAGCATATACACATCTAGATTTTTTCTGCACATATATGCATATTAGGTATTTAACAAATATGCTATCAGATTCTATATACTACCATGTTAACTTGGTTTTAAGCTACAAAGTAAATTTATCCAAGTGACCAAATATTTAATGCTTGCACAGAAATTTTCTACTGATGAATTACTTAACCAACTACCTACTGCTGCACAAATTGTTTTCAGTTTTTTTCTGTGATAAACTTCCTGACAGCTAAGTCTTTAAAGATGCCCATCATTATTTCTTGGGGATGAATTCCCAGAGGGAGAACTTCTGAGTCAAACATTAGACACATTTTTAAGGCTTTTGATACATATCATCATTTTGCTCTCTAGGAAGGTTGTGTCAACTTATAATGTTATAATTATAAAATATAAAAGGGCTCATTTTCCAAATTATTTTTCCAAGTTAGTCACCTCATAAAATCTGTGAAATCAGAATTTGGAGACAGCACATGTAGAGTAATATAAGTAGCAAGTTTTCTTCTCAGAGGAAACCTGTCCAAAAAGCCATGATTTTAAAAAATCCTACTTGTCCACAGTTTGCCTTTAGTCCAACCAACTGGTTTAGATAAGAACTTTTAAAGTTAAGTTTTTAAAGTCTGTCATATTTGTGGAACTGTGTCTGCTTACTATTCTAAAATGACTTTATCAAAAACGAATACATTTCTTTTTTAAGGTGATAATTAAGCCAGACTTGTTTAATGACATCCCATTCACTTTCCTGGACAAAAGAATGCATTTGCCTTGCTTTTTCCATAACCAGAAGAAGGTTATTTTTGGTCAAAGTGAAAACCATAAATGGTGGATAGCTATCATTATCCCGGTAATAGTGGTCCAGGTGTGAAGTACCTCCGCAGGGAAAAGCAAACAGGAACAAACAAAAACCTTTCCAGCATCCAGAACCTCCAAATAAGAAGAAAAGATAGCCAAGCAGAAGTTTTAAAATGCTGCCTAAACCATACCTAAAAAAGGAAAATGCATGACACTACAAGAGAAAAGCTAATGAAGCAGAAAAATACTTCCCACTATACAACTCCCTAGAGGACTATGACAGGTATCAGAGGTGTGTGAAATGTTTGACAGCCATAGGAAGCACTGGTTTGGGTTTAACTAAAGGAAAGGATAGTTGGAGAGTGCCAACATTTTCTACTGACAAAAGAAAACCAAGCCAGTTTTCTCTTCTGTTAAGTTCCATGCTCAGTTGACCAACTCTGTTTTCATCTTTTCTGAGACCCACGAAAATAGAGTAAAAAGAGAAAATATCCAAATATAGAAGCTGAATTTAACAAGATTAGAAAAACCTAAACTATGTTATGTTCTGGTAGACTTGCAATCAAATAATTACAGTCATTTGGTCAATGTCTGATTAGCTCAATGAGAGAAGATGTTTGGCTATACGGCCAGATACCAAAAAACAAAACAAAACAAAACTATTTTTTTAAAGGATCACTCTCTCTACGTAATAATCAATCGTGTTATGACAATTTTGTAATACTGGGATGGGTCATCCAAGCAACTAAGGAAATGGTAATGCTTTGCTCACTTTAAAGAAAAAAAAAAAATCAGCATTTCCAAAGTTGGCATAGTCACACAAAGTCAAAACAAGCCTCAGAGGCAAAGGAAAGGGGCCGAAACCCTGAGAACCATAAAATGACGAATGAGAAAACTCCTCCCCACGGAAGATATTCAGGTATATAAAAGGCATGTGATGGAACACTTAAGACCTAAAACATCACTGTCAATCTTGAGTCTGGATGTTTAGCTTAGGAAGAAAAAAAAAAGAAAATGAACACTAAGCCTGATGTGATTCAAAAGTGTTTGTGGCCTGCATGCCTTGTAGGTCTGTTCATCCCTGGCGCCCTCTCTCTGCACTGTAACTTGCTGCATCTTCACCTGAGGGAAGTCACCTGGCAAAATCTGAGACTTCTGAACAGCATGAGCAATTCATTTCCTGTAGAGTGCCTAAGAGAAACCAGAGCTTTTGAGTTGCCCCAAGACATCCAATCACACACCCCACCTGGGAAAAGGTACCTCAAGGAGGCCTTCTATGAAATGTCCACACAGGCCTTCAACATCTTCAGAGAGTCCACCACCAAATCCACTTGGAAAAAGAAAAACCTGAAACAAATCCAAATCAGACTTGATTGGCAGATGCACCACTTGGAAAAATGCTTCGAGGAAGAGGAGAAAGGGAAGGAAGACTCGAAACAGATGGAAGAGGATGGGATGGACTTCTCAGGAGCTATGGTCTCCCAGGTGAGCAGCCTAGAACTGAGGAGATATTTCTATAGGATGTACAACTTCCTGAAAGATAAGAAATACAGTCCCTGTGCCTGGGAGATCATCCGAGTGGAACTCAGAAGATGTTTCTACTACTTCTATAAATTAACACTACTACTCAGGAAGAAATAAGGTATATTCTTAGAATTAAAATTCCATTTCTCTCCAACAGCTCCTTCTCTTTCATCTTCTTTTTAAGAATTATTGGGCTATTCTCCATTGGAGTGGCGGTGATTTATGCAAGGTTTAGAGTCTCTAAAGTTGGCCTTGAGACATCAGCTACCTTTCCAAGAGAGGTGATGCCAACCATCCCCTGGGTACCCTGAATCTTGTTAGAAAGTTCCAAAGTCAGTTCTAAAGGAATGAGATTCTCTTCATGTTCTTCTACTGTTTTCTTCCCCATTCCTTGTGCCATTTTGTACTCACTTTGCTCTACTACCTTTGAACTTCACGCAGCCAATGGCTAGAGGATGTAGCCCAGAGAATGTTGCAGAATGTAACACCTCAATGACTTAATCCTCCTGCTGCCAAGGCTGTTTATTCTATGAAAATTTAGCTTGTTAAAGGAGCTTACTCAAGCTATTATAAAGTTAAAACCCTCCGTGTCTCCCCCTGTCCTCAAAAAAAAATGAAAAAAAAAAAGTTGAAATTCCTGGCCTATTTGCTTCTCAGTTTGGTTTGTTTGAAATGATACAAAGACTTTATTATTTTAAGAGAATAAAGACCCCCAATGGTATTAGATGGTTGAACTGGATGGCCATTAAGCTCTCTCATTCAACCTTTGAGAGCCAATGATTGACTCTTGCTGCGTATTACTTGATTTGGAAGGCACGGAAAATGCTGCAAAAAAGTACAGTATCTGCCTTTCATTGTTTTTCTGTTTTTTAATGCCTGAGATAAATTACCTACAGTCATACTTCGCATTGATTTTCACATTGAATTTTCCCAATTAGAACACCACTTTCTGCCTGTTAAGTAAACTAGTTATAATAACACATGACACTTTACTATAGTTTATTTTTTAGAAGTTAATTTGTATCCAGATTACTTAGATTATTTACCCAAATTTTCTTGTGTGATCCTTCATCTGTATTAATTCATCATCTAGCTGAAATTAATTTTCTCTTCCTCTCTCTCCTCCACCCCATTTCAGAAACCTGCACCGTCAAGCAAGAATTAACATAGAGATTTATGGCTACACAAATGCACAAAATGTACCTGGTTCCACCCTTCGGAAACCTTCCTGCTATTGTTTCAAAAGCAAGCTACTAAACTGTTTAGTTTCAAGATTCATTCAAGTACAGGACTCAAATGGTAAAGCCAAATAGAGGAAGTCTTAAAAAAAACTGGGGTAAATTTCAGCCAAAAATTAAAAGTTGTGGATTATGACATACTGGTTACCAGTGGAAGGAACACAAATAAAATGAGTTAGTAAAATCCATTTAGTAAAAACAACTCCTCAACAGAGTTGTTCTAAATGAAAAAAGGGGGGGGGCATAAACTGAAGAAATTGGGGCATGCACACTACAAAGCAGTAAGTATACACCTGGCATCTTCCAAGAATTTCTCTAATAATGTTTTTGCACAGTCTCCCTAATAACTCTACCGAGATCATGTCAATTATTTTAGTAATTTATGGCTGCAGTCTTGCCAAATGTCTGCCATGCTGGAGGGAAGAAAAATTGGAACTTTGAGTTAATAAAGATTATCTGATTACATGGGCAGGGTCAGAAGTCAGAACAGTATGCTTTTATTAAAAGCACCTCTAAGGGACAACAGGAAAAATGCTTAATCTCATTTGTGATTAAAGAAATGCAAAAGACAAGAGCATACTTCCCTCCCATCGGTCTGGCAGAAATGAAAAACAGCGATTATAATACAGAGTGTGAGTGGGGTGCAGGATGCAAGGAAAAAAATCCTCTTGTATCTTGTTAGAGAGAAGGTAAAGCGGCACACCCTTCCTACAGGATGCTACGGCAATCTTAAATATCCTAAAAATTGCATTCAACCTAGCTGTACTATCTCCAGAAATTTATCCAAGGAAATCATTGGATAAGATTGTCCACTGGAGCCTTGCTTATAATATCCCCCTTCCTTTTGTCTTCATTTTCACTTCTCTGTATTTTTTTTTCCTACAGTGATTTGGGGGAGGGAGGGTAGTTAATTCTAAAATTAAAGAAACTGTACAAGATTATCTTCCACTACAATTATCCTGTTTTCCTTACTGGAGCAGACCAGGACAAACACTGCCCTTACACTTTGTTAATGATGCCTTTGGGCACTTCTTGGGCAACCCAGGTCTGCCTTGTTGCTCTTCTCCTGCTGCTACTGTGCAAAATTTCAAAGGAATCCTTCCTTATGCATCATTTTCATAATGAAATGTTTGTAAAGAGCCTTCCAGTGCTTCAAAGATTTTGCTTTTTGTTGTTGTTGTTGGTACCACTGGTAATATCCAGCACTTTCTGGAAGTGCTCTGTGTCCACCTTCCAGATTTAGCAGTCAACTTTGTATTTATTTGTTGAATGGAAGTCAAATTTCTATTAGGTCAGGTAAAGGATAGACTCTTAGAACTGTGGAGAGCCAAGTGCACAGCTCCCACTTAAAATGCTTGAGTGGGTACATAGGTCACAAGTGTTCAGAGGGGAGCTTCCTCCCTACCCACTCTTGGGGGAAGGATCCAAAGTTAGAGTGTAATTGAGTCTCCTTGGAAAAAGGACGAGTGGACCTCCCTCAGAAAAAGCTGGCAACATCACTGTATGTAAAGCTATGAGCATGTATAGGTTCCAACAGGTGCACAGGCTTGGCCTCCACTCACAGGCAAAACCACTCTCCCTTCACCCTTTCGGTGACCCCCCCTTCTCAAGAGTAGCTACTTTGCTTTGACCTACTTCTTTAATACTCCCCAGTAAGAAGAAACATGATGTGTAAGCATCTAACTTGTGAGGGAAGGGACAGAAATAGGGCCACCTATAATCTACCAGGCGCACCCTCAGGGCAACTCGGAGGCAGTCCCAAGCCACTGGTTCGCAAGGACTTGGAAATCTGGGCGCTTTCCCGGTGGCATCTCTAAATGCTGAGAGGGGACCTGGGATTTAGACATGGGAAGTCCTACCCCAAGTCAAAACTCGACGTTTAATCTGGACGAAGCCACCTAACCACTATTTCTAGGCAAAGTCTCGAGGCTTCCCGGGTTATTTCCTTCTCCATCCTGGCCTGTCCTCCGGCCCTTGGAAACTCGCAGACCCCAGAACCTCCGCATTCTGCCCACCACAAGTGCCCCGACCCTGTGCCGCTGCCCTGGAAGCGGCCCAGCCACAGGCCTTTAGGCGATTTAAATCCACTGGAACTACCGAAGGACACCCTGGTCGGGGGCAGAAGGTCGCTTCCAGTCTCGGGAAAGCGGCACCTCTCCGTGACTGCGCCCTTCGCAGCGCGCCTGGGCTGAGATCTGAGAAATGCGCCCCGGGCCACAGGCAGCCGAGGAGGCGGGGAGGCTGCAACTTTCCCTCCGCCCTCTAACCGCAGGGCCTGGGTGCGGCGGCCTCGCGGGGGTCAGGCTCCTCTCCTTCCACGGTCGGGATCCCCAGCGGGAGGCGGCCGTGTGGGCTGGAGGGGAGGGGG